GTACATTTCTCAGGGCAGCGCAAAGTCTAAATATTTATGACTTAATCCGTCCCAAAAAAACATTTGAATTCCATTACAATAGAAAAGTAAATAAATCTACATAATTTGAAACTTAGAAACTCTTTAGGTTAGGGTTTTCATGGACAAAAAGTCAATGAAATGTATTTGATAGTATTGAGCTATTGATTTGTTGAAATAGCACAAGTGAAGTCTCCTTATTTAAAGGAACAGTCCCTGGTAATGCGAGGGTGGGGGGAAGGGGAGGGGTAGTATGAAAAATAAATGCCTGAGGGTAACAAAATAGCCAACATTTCAAATCAAGACAGCAATTAAATTGTTTAAGTTATTTGGTAATGGCTAAGATTATGAACTGCTGTCTATACATTTAGATATGGTTATCCAGACATTGATATAGCGTGGAAACTGAAAGTTGTATTTCTTCAAGAAGATATCACAAAGATTTAAATGACTAGGATAAAGATTTCTAATAATCCTTTACGTAGAATTAACCAGTTTTGTTTACTGACATATATCTGGATTGCTCCTTTAAAGACCGAAGGTAATACTTATGAAATCTTCGAGAAACATCCCAGACTGTTACGTATATGACAATTAGATCGACATTTTGCCTCATAGTTAGTCTGAGAGGGGGGTGCTACAGGGAGCTGTTCAAGTAAATAATTACACCACTTTTAAGTTGAAATGCCTCATTTAGAAAATGGTTTATTGACTGGTCTCAGTAATTATCGGTTAAATCTACCATAAATTACATGTTTTAGGACATGTGTTGCTTTCCAAAACCATCGTAAAACCATCGTTCAATCTTAATTTCTGGATCGAGTCAGAGAACTAGCAGGAACCTCATTGATTACTCCTTCAATTACCTAACGGAGATGCCAGCATTATAAGGAACTTAACAATAGACTGATTGATCTCAAACCCTTAATTGGTTGCCAATAAACACTGTCGATTTTGTTTAACTATAGATTTAGCTTAGGAATATTTCTCTTGCAGCATCTGTGTTTTGCTTTCAACATATACAGAAGCTATTATTGTAATTTAGTCTTTTTTTGTCGGGGAACAGAAACAGAACCTGAATATTTTATCGATACTTTGTCTAATTAAGATTAATCTGTTTGTCTGAATGAAATTGATCACAAGTCTTTTTCTTTTTCAGAATTTGACTTTCACAACTAGTTCTCTTAGGGCACTCATACTTTTTTTTTACATTATTTAACCTTGCTTTAATTTACAAGGTGAAATGAATTCCAAGAGGTCAGTTTTAATTGAAAGAATTTTTTGTGAAATCAAATGTTTTGAGAAACATTTATTAAAAGCAATTTACGCAGTTTAAATTTTATCCACAAGAGATAACACCTTTTACAGATTGTACAGTACCTCTTATCAATCTTAATTTTATCTTTTGTTCACATATTGATTTAGAAATTTTAATGTAATTTTAATGTAATTAATAAGGGACCATATCTAAAAGGATAGGAAATGAATGAAATGAAATGGGGTTTAACGTCCTACTGTTCTGCTCCTATACTGGGCTAATGAAGACGGGTATACGCCATACAGTGTGCTATGAGGGAAATTTTGCCCGGGTAGCGGCACTATCGCCTACTCTTATATCGAATTCCAACTGCCAAGGGATCTTTTATGTGCATTCCAATGTATACATGGGACCTCGGTTTTCATATCATCCGAAGGACTAGACAGCTGTCCTTGTCAGGCCTAAAAGGATAGGGTTTTAATATCTTGTTAGAAGAGTACTTTGGTCATTTTGAGACTAAGATATGATTATTTGCTCCTACAGTCATGTCAGGTTTGTCCATGTGGTCAAGGCTACCTGAAGCCTCATAGGGTATCTCTAAAGCAAGGGTGTTAATTGGCATGGCAGTCTTGGCACCTATTAATTGTGCTCTTTAAGCTATTAGAAATTTCTCAGATTGAATAATTTGTGTTTTAATGAAGTTTTTCATTTACACAGGGTGTCAGATATTGATCTAATGTATGGCCCATAATTAAACCCACGAACTTGGCATAACATTTTTGGTATGCTTGTACAAATAGGTTGATGCGTGGACAAATTTTCCTAAAGATATCTTGAACAGAGATATGCTGTGGGACCAGAACATGGACTGAAAGATGGGCAGAATCCTTTTTAATATCACTCTGTTATGTCACTTCAGTGCGGGATAATTACAACTTGTGTGTATCGGTAACAGTAATCTTTAACAACTAGGTTTCTGTCTTGTCAGTGGTGCAGAAGGTAGGGCCTTGCAGGGAAAAATGTCTGGTAAACCCAATTTCATTGATCTTAAGAATCAATTGTGCATATTGAATGACGTCTTTATGATGTTCAGGAATTTAATCTGATAGATCATCATCTTAATTAACTGTCATTAACCTAATTATTGATTTTGTAATCAAAGCAGCTGAATAAAAAAAAAACACATTGTAAAAAATGTGACCTATTTTTCAAAGACTTAATAATTAACAGTAAGAACCTGAATGAACATAGGAATAAAAAATTTGTTGGCTGATCCTGATGATTGTCTAAATCTTCTCTGGTTTCTAAATTCAAAAAACAAAATAAGTATTATCTAAAAATCTTTAGTATTAGAAAATAGAATTAAGTAAAAAATATTAAAACATAGTTACAGATGCATCAAAATTCTGATGAAATACATTAAAAAAAATTTTGTGTGGACATCTTTATACAAATACCGGTACTGATCCTGTTGAATCTTTACCATTTTAAGACGTATTGAAAAAACTAATCTTTATCTGATTTTAAGACTTGTATGGACATCCTTATACAAATACTGATTCTGTCTAATCTTTACCATTTTAAAACTTACTGAAAAAACTAATCTTTACCCTTTTAAGACTTGGATAAAAGATATTTGATTTTACTTCATGGGATGTAACTACCTCCCAGTCTAGCTGTCAACATCAATTGCCTATTGGTAAAAAAAAATATATATATACCCATTTTCCTCAAGTGAAAGCATGACAACATTATTTTTCTAGAAGGCAAAAAATGTCATTTTGCTAATTTGTTGCAGTCCAACTGTGAACTCATTTAAGAAACAGTTGGAATCGGTTAGAAATAAAAAAATAAAAATTAGAAATGTTGCCAAGTATAGTACTGTGTAGGCACTCACAAGATAAGATTGTCCTCAAGAGAAAATGTTCAAATGAATTAAATATTGGTAGTGAAAGCTATGTTAGATGGTTTATACTGCAAGTTCTCAGTCTAAAAAGTGATTATTGGGAAAATTTCTAGATTTTTGGCCCAGAAAAAACTTATTAACAGTAATCATTAACAATGTTTTATTCTGTAAGGAGATTTTATTTTCTGTATTTTAGAATTCTTAATTTCTGTTGTTAGGTAAGATCTCTCTTGACGAAAACTTTATTTAATAAAGTACAGCTTTTTTCTTATTACAATTAATTGGTTTCACAAGATGTAGAAATTATATTGATCTTTGCCGCAAAACTCGCCTTTTCATCTTCCTCTGTAAACTTCAACTTGTCAAGTGCTGCAGTGGCTCCCTGTGATAAATGTGACCTTTGGGACAAGCAATGAGGTGAATTGTAGGGTCTATTTCCAATAGGACTTGCTGTGCTGTCAATTCTGAAGTTCCAACCACTGAGATAGTCTAAGTTTGGATATAATGTAGGTGTGTCCCGAATTAGAATTTCTTTTCAGTGCAGAAGAATCAGGAATGAGGTTATTGATACTGGATATATATAGACATTGATAGATATTCCATGAAAATGGCCATCTTCATTAGTACAACCTGTGCACAAAAGTAGGAAGTTAAACCACATTTCATTTCCATGAAAATGGTTACTTTATTTTGTGACATTTTAAAAGTTTAAAAAAATATCATACTTCTTTTGAATTCAAATGTCAGTGTTCTATTTGTGTTGTTTTGTTGTGTAAAAAGTTAGTACCATTAATTATAGCTTGATCACAATTCAATCCCCTTGATATTTTAATGCCAGTTAGGCATGGAATAATTCAATTGTAACTTTGCATGATATAGAAAGATTTTCAAATAGTTTACAGCATAGATGTTGGATAAACATGAAACGTTTTTTTTTTACACAATACCCATTTGATTTTAAGCCAGTATTTACACTGAAACATAGTACAGCAAAAATACATATTGTGCAGCAAATAATCTGTTTTCTCAATGTGAACAGAAACGTTAAGTTTAAAATACTTCAGTTTAATTGTAGATTTATTTCACAAACTAGTTTGTTCTACACCAGAAACGTATTGAATATTTTTTTAAACCTCTTTATACAGACATTACTGATCCAGTTTAATCTTTAACCCATGCCTATAAGGACTTGTTAGATTGAAATTTTTAAATGTTACTACCTTCCTATTTGTCTACATCGATTACCTATTGATGAAACAAATATATATATATATATATTTTCCTCATGTCAATATAAGACAATTTATTTTTCTGGAAGTGAAACATTGCTGCTAACAGGATTATAATTTCCTAACAGTTTAAATCATCAGAACAAATCTTGGTAATGGACACATGCTCACTAAAGTGTAACAATTATTTATAGTAGACAATGGTTTTACGATTTGAGGAACATTTTGGGGAATACAAACACAATTTAATATATGTACTTTATAGGTTCCAATAAAGAAAAAATGTTATTAAAAGTTCAATTGAGTTTAACCTTTTCCATTTCTGTATTTGAGGATTGATATAATGTAAAGGAACTCAAGCATTAGATCAAAACCAGAATGCTAGACTTGACAGACCTTATGATCTAAAACCCACATGTTAGACCACTTTGCTACCCGTCCCCTACCTTTTGTAAGAATGTATGTTTTCTAGTATGAATATAGGATTGAAAAAACTGATTGGAGAGAATTGAAGTGACAGATAAATGGGGGCTGGATGTGGAAACCCTTTCATACTCCTTTTACGGATGTTTTATATCTATATTTGCAGGAGAATGTAATAGTGGTGTATGTTTTAATGGAGGTCAGTGTCAAGGAGGTTATAGTCAATCCTGTTCATGCCCACCAGGGTTTCAAGGTCCAAGATGTCAATATGGTAAGTTACTTTCTTATTTCACACTTACAAAATTACCACCAAAATTTCCACGGTGGCCCTGAAACTCAAAATCTTAGAATCACAATACATGCATAAATCATGGAAATTAATGATCTGCACGATTTATATTATTCAAATTGATATATACAGATTGTGAAATATTGTTAATGATAGTATCCAGGTACAATAAAGACCTTGATAAATAATGATATCACGCAATCTGTAACTGGAATCACAGACAACAATATACCATGGAAATTATTTGGACCCCAATCCAACTGTTTCAGCTTACACACATACAAACCTAGCCACAATAGGAGAACACTTGCTGGAATGTCATGCTATTACAAATAAGTGATTGTTTCCATATAAATTGTCAGAGTTTTTTTAGGATTATAGTTGTCTGTTATTGTCTTTGGTTTTATGAATGATTTGAATGTTCATTGGTACCCCCTATAAAAACCCAACTGCACTATTTATCCACACTTGTTACAGATATTTAATAAAGTTCATGGAATAAGAAGGGCAAATGGTCCTTTTATGGAGATTATTTCTTGGTCTAGAGGGGCAAAGACATTTGCTTTGCTTAGTATTTAGGAAACCTGTTCTATTTCCCTACCTAATCTTCAGACCTATCTATAAAAGGAACTTTATTCAGATCTGTAATACACCCACTATATAACACATAGTCAATATCATAGTGTATATCAGACTTTGATTATATTAAGTAAAGTGTTAGACATGTGTACATGATCTTATCTGTTTGTTTAGGTGTTGTTATGAAAGGAAACAACTCTAGAATAACTTTGATAATAAATTGTTAAAACTCAATTCCATTACTTAATACCAGATAAGAGATAATAGTATAATCAATTGCAGATCCTGTCAGAAATTTTGGTAGATTCTATGAAAAGATTAACAGTATACAATGATTTTGAAATTAATATTTTTGGTTGTATAGAGATTAAATAACAGACATGATTATTACAGAAGATTGTAGCTGTTCTGGAACACTGATCTTAAAACCACCATAATGTTATTAGGAATGAAATTGTCTTATTGTTCTACACCACTGGGGCAAATGAAGACAAGCATGATAATGAACTTTTTCTTGGACGGCAGCACTAATGTCTACTCTTAAATTATACTTCAAATTCCAACTGTCAGGAAACTTTCAACATGCTGCCAGTAGTATACACGAGACTTTCGTTTTTTTTTTTGTCCCATCAAAAAGACAAGACTCTTTTCCTTACAAAACCCTCTGTCTTAGGCCAATGACAAGGGGAATCCAGCTCCAGAGAAACTTGCTAGACTAATGCTGGGATTGAACCCAGAACCACCTGGTTATGTGAGCTCACCGAGTTTCTGTGGCTCCAGATCAAAAGCAAGAAAATACACAAATATATTATTAAATTTCCGTAATCATAGATTCTAACCATAACTGTGAAGAAATCAGTGTATATTAACAAATGTCATGGGAAAAAATCTGAATCTTAAGCCAAACTTCAATCCCTAGTTTAGAAGTTATGTCAAATTTAATCTTGTTAAAACTTTCTTTTAAACTGTTCACATTAAATATATGCCATTAATTTATGTTTAACACCATTCATGCTGAACGTTGAAATATTAAACTTATATAAACAAGTTTATGGATTAGAAAACAGATTCTTTATCATAAGTAAGTTGATTGTTGACAAATATAATATTACGTTATGATAAAATAAATTGTTGATAACAATCATCACTGGTTTTAACTTACTGTGTGAAAATATAAAATCTTTTTCGCTAATGGATATATTAGGGTTTGCTAATATTATAATGAATGCTCTTGACATAATTTTGAAATGAAATGTAATTCTTGTCTCCAAATGACTGAGGTACATTTTTGATAATAAAATATATTTGCTAAGATGTCCAAACTAGTTACAACAGTATCGAATTCATGTAACTTTCAGCTGTTCAACATTGGACGTGTGTGGAAATACATAGATACAGATTGAACTAAACTACTAGTTAACTCTTTAATGATAGATGGGACTATTGTGCTTCCTTACTTTACAGACTTCCAGCTTCTTCTATTCACTAATATTACAAAAGATACAAAACACTGCAGCACGTTTAATCACCAGAATAAATCTCCGGATCCATGACCACATTACACCTGTAAATCCTTTCACTGGCTGCCCATAATTAGATGTTTTCAATATAAAATTATCCTCCTTACTTACAAGTGCATCAATGGTTTAGCACCTGACTACCTGTTTGATCTTCTACAGGTCAAAAGTGGAGAAAGAACAACTCCGTCAACATCAAAACACCACCTTGTCATGCCAAAATCTTTGAAAGTGTCTTGTGGTGGTAGGGATTTTTCAGTTGCAGCACCCATCCTATGGAACAAACTCCAAGCATCAGAGTTCTTTAAATCATGCTTGAAGACTCACATATTTAATTGTGAATACTAAACATGACAGTGTGGCTGGCTCAGCACCATCGAGTAGAACAGTTCTAGATGACAGGCGCTATATAAATTCATTATTATTATTATTTAATTGTCATTAAAGGAGCCATTCAAATTTGTAACTAGTAAAAAATTCTGTGTGGAGGACTCTTAGAAATCTTTATGTTATACTCCTGTATAACTATCAGGAACTTGGTGGTACTTTATGGAAGAAATACAACCTTTTAGTTTCCCAGTAAGTTTGTCAAGTACCACATATTGCAACAGTCATTTCTCTCATACATTTGAACAATAGAAATCCTTAAATGAGTCTGGAGATCACATCCGCTCAACACAGACTTGGTCATTTCCGGACTATCATATGGTACACATTTATTTAATAATATGCTTACTTCTATGGAGTCGAGGGGGGTAGATGGCCGAATGGTTAGCACATGCGCTCTGTATCATAAGGTCTGTCCTTGAGTCGATTCGCGAGGTTTCGATTCCCCAGTTGTATGTGACAAGGAGTATGGTTGCCTGTCCAACCTTGTGCGTTTTCTCTGGGTCCTTCGGTTTCCTCCTACTGCCAAAGACCCCTACGCGCAAGTGAATAATTGAAATAAAATGGTGCCATGTGTTAGTCCTCAAATGACCTAGTTTGTGTTGTGTGGACGTTAAACCGGAGGACCAAAGAAAATACATAAAGTTAGGCAAACAACCTACTCTGTCACATAAAATTGTTGGATTGAGACCACAACACTTGAGTCAATGACAGACCTTATGATCTAAAGCACATGCGTTAGGCCATTCTGCTACTATACCGAACCCCGATTTTGATGATCAGATGTAGTCATTTGAAGATTACACATCTTAACTAATTACTGTCTCATTTAAAAAAGGATGATGTATATCACAGGATTTGGATATTATTAGAAGGATTTATTAAAAAAATAAATTTGAAAAGAATTTTTATTAATGACTATCAAAATCAAGAATTTAGTAATTTAACTGTCATGGTCTAGTATGTTTCTCTGCTGGACATCCTGTCAAGTTTGACCATCCTGTCAGTGTCTGGTAACAATAAATGAGATATAGGGTGACAGCAAGGTTCACACTTTTACCATGTTGCATTATAATAACATGAAACATTTACTACACCCAGGAATGTAAAAACAAATATATGTCATGTTTTTTGGTGTATAATAATGTGAAATGTATGTGCTACTATGTTTCTGTTTGTTTATTAGATGGCTGACCAATCTGTATTACTAATTCATGTTAAAAGAGAAGTTGTCTTTTTTTGGTGGGTGTTTGATTCATGATGTCTCCAAAGACAGACACCTTCTATAAAGATTACTGACCATGACAGAAAAATAAGTAAATTTATATAAATTTATTGGACTGTTTATGTAGAATCCTAAATATTAAGTCAGCTTCAAATCTTTATACATTTTTGAGTGGTACATGATATGATTAAAGTTCTGTGGAATTGTGAAGGCTAGCTATTAGTCAAAACCCTCAATAATATGTTTTTGGGTGTATTTTTCGTCATATATATGTGTTTAACAAATTCTGAAATAAGACTAAAAAGATGTCTAGCTTGATCATAATTACCAGCATGTCAGTGGAAAGCTGTCTAGTCATTTGGATGGTACAAAAAAATGAGGTCCTGTGTATACCTTTGACAGCACATTTCTGATTCCCTGATAACTGGAGATTTAATTTAGAGAAGTCTGTTGTGCTGCTGCCAGGGTAAAATTTGCCACATAGCACACACTGAAGGACATTTGCATATCTTCATTAGCCCAGTTGGTGGAGAAAATGCAACTTCATGTCATTTCATTTCCCTGACCCAACTCTACTATCATTTTATGGTTAAACCTTTTATTTTACAATATGTGAGATTAGAGACATTGTTTTATATGTGTACCATGAATTAATGATAAGCTAGACAATATAATGAAAGAATAGGTGATCATTTCAAACACATGCACATGTATTAATCAAATTAGCAGACTATTTTCTACTCTCATAATTACGACAGTAGGTTAGAATGATCTGGATTGGAGACCTCTTGTTCTGAATTGAGCCTCATTCCAATAACAAATGAAAGATAAATATACTGTTCACAGATTTTCACAATCCTTTTGATAAATGTGTGAAACATTTAACCAAAATACTGTGAATCAAGGAAAGAGATGAAATGAAATAAGGTTTAACATTTGATATTTTTGATACCAAAGAGAATGAACCCTGGCAATTCCTAGTAATGAGCCATCAGCATACTCTCTGAGCTGCTGTAGTTTGAGAAACCAGGCAAAGGAACAAATATTGACTTTTTTCAGTTCCTAACTCTACCTTGCACTTTAATGGATGCATTTCCCTTCTGTATTTTTAGGAAGGACTAGGTACCCACATCTAAAAGAACATTATAATTAGTAATAACATTCTTAATACACTAAAGAGAAAGTCTACTTGTATATGATAGATGATTATTATAATGAAATATGGCAGTAAGGAAAAAGGGTTATATGAACAAGTCAACATTTTTATAGTTGAA